ACAAATATATCGATGATTAGATTGAATTGTAAGACAGTAAGAGAGTAAGACAATGATTCAATCTTTTTTTATCTAAAAAAAAAATTAAAAAAAAAAGAGAAAATTTAACAAAGATCAGGTGTCAATAACTATCCAAATGTATAAATGACCATATCGATATAGTGAAACTAGTTAATTGTTTATACAATAAAAACAAGTTATTTGTTTGACAAATTTCGCGGCATTTTAGTCGTTATTGGTATTTGGGCATTCATATATTTGTTTGAGTGTGCATTTAATTAAAAATTCACTTGGTAACACGAACTTTAGACATAGTTAGAAATAATAATAATAGAAATAATAAGAATAGCAACGATAAGAATAGAAATAAAAAAAAATAAGAATAGTAATAATAAAAATATAGTAATAATAAGAATGGTAATAATAAAAATATAGTAATAATAAGAATAGTAATAATAAGGATAGTAGTGTAATGATGATAGGTGCTATAACCAAATAAATTAACGAGCAGCTTCTATGAATCTAAAACTTTAAAACAAAAATATATATACATTAACATAGGCATTATTCTAAAGGTCGATCAATTGTCAAGATTATGTCAAAAACGTGTATAACGCGAGATACTGCGAGAATATATGCGTGATATACAGTAGTGTCTACGTGTTCATGTAGTTAATGTAATTTTGACAGGATGTTCGTGCAATTGTCAATTATTAGTGTAGATCAATATATAGCATATACTTGCAAGGTTAATGTAGTACCAGGTTTCTTTCATTGCAGAAATATGTATAATAAAAACATGTATAAATTAATAATTATTCTAATGACATCGAGAGAATTTTTATTTTTGAGATCTTTGGATCTTTTTCAATTCATAAAATATTTCCGAATCTATGAATTTTAAGAATGAAATTCTTTTGATATATAGTTCTATCTAATTTACGAGTCTAATTGGTGAATCTAATTGATGATGTTTAACTTATGCGTAATTATAGCATAACTATAGTAACTATAATACTAGGTTATAATAAAGCCGGATAATTAATTATCAATAGTTAAATATCAACCCCTCAGGATCAATCACCTAGCCATGGCCGGTGAGAACGAGGCATAATAATAATGCATGTCATGATAATTAATATTTACTGTATGTACTGACGTACGTGCATGATTTGTGCATGCTTCTAGTTTTACCAAACATGAGAGACTAAACAATATACAATAGAATATTTTTTAAACGTTTTTTATTTATAAAAAAAAAATCTTTATAATTTTAATAAAAATCTATAGGAAAAAAAAAATACGCCTGATTCGGGATTATATTTGTTGTGATTGTGATTTGTACCGTAAATACTAAACAAAAAACCAACAACTTCATTAAATAATTTTAAAAATATTTATGAAATTGGGAGAATTTGAAAAGAAAAAAAAAAGAAGAAATTTTTTTTTTTTTTAAAAAAAAAAAAAATTGGCATATTATAAACAGGGAAAACTTAGAATAGCTTAGTAGAAAGAAGGAATAAATACGAACAATAAAAAAAAGACCAATTTTCTAAGACGAAAGATACGGTATGACACCGTGACAAATAAAAATGTGGTCACACAAACCATTAAACGATGGGTTTGGAAATACAAATTTTTTAGCAGTTAACAAAATCGAAGAAAAAAACCTCTAATATATGTCCCGACGAATGAAAAAAAAAAATTTTTGATACTAATTTTTTTCAAAAAAAAGTAGCCTAAAATGTTTTTTAAATATAAATTTTTATGTCCAAAAAAGGGTTTTGACGATATATCACACGAAACACTATCTCGATTTTTTTTTTAAAAAAAAAATAAAAGAAAAAATATATATAGAAAATAACGTAAGAATGTATTGTGCGTTAGGTTGAAAAAATTCGATTAAAAAAAGATTTAAAAAAACGCATGATCTTGTCGACGGTGAAAAATTTTTTACAGGGCAACTATAGCAGAATTTTCAAGATCAATAATTTTTTTGTGCAAACGATTCTATTTCATTTTATACAATGTTCGTTTTTTTTTTAAAAAAAATGATATACAATATATACAAACATAAATGTTTCAAATACTGTATTGTCTTTTTTTCTTTCCCTTTTTTTTAGAGAAAAAAAGTTCATATACTCGTAGGTCAGGATCATCCTCCGATCCTTTCCTTAGACGCATCCTTAGAAGATCGTTTATGCGTATGACCAATAGGTTTTGGGAAGTTGATCCTGAAGCCAGAAATTTTTATTAGGGGACTGGAAAGGATTCTGGTATTCCGCGAGATGACAGCGGGAAATAATAGGCAATATGAGATGAAATGCGTTTGTTTAAATAGCGGGAAAGTAAAAGAACTGGTAAGGACCAACGCTGTCAAATGGATATCAAATGGTCGCTGACGACATATTGAAAGTAAGTTTCATCTCAAAGAAGAATAACACAAACGACCTTCATGAAATCTAGTGAAAGATGAGTCTTTTAGTCAACGATCAGAAAGAAAATTAACTTCCTGATAGGGCCAAAACGAAGATTCAAAATGTCAGAGGCTTAAATATTAAATGCCCTGATTACAGAAATTTTTTTTATTAACGTTTATTAGCATCTGTAAAAGGTAAACAAAGCAAGCACTACGAAGACCAATAGTATAATGATTGCACCGCTTGTAGCCACTCGATCCCGCCTTAAGATATCTGATTTCGTGGCACAATCAAGAGATTATTGATGCCCCCACTTTTGTGTTTTTGGTCTACCTGCAATGCATACGAAGACCCTTACAGTTGATGTTTAATAAATTTATAATTGGCGAACCAATATTTTACACTTACTCACATTTTTAAATAAGCACCAAGAACGAGTTAATACAAGTAGTCGGATAATTTGTGTCTTCTATAAAGCATCAAAAAAAAATTTGGACTAGATTCTTTAGTATTAGTTTTTATAAAAAAGAGTTTAGCTTTATTTTGATCGGTAGTAATGATAGTATTAAGAATAATATCCATGGTTTAATGTAATTTTTAATGTAGTATTTTAATGTAATAAACTAAAAAAATTCTTGCCCATACCAGATTCCCACGTTAAAAGAAATTAAAAAAAAAAAATGTTGATCATTTAATTATTTCACTAAAATAATTTGTCATCAGATCTACAGGATACTAATGTCAAGAATAAAATTAAAATTCATTTAATATTAGCGTTAGAAAAAAAAAAAAAAAAAATTTTTTTTAATATAAAGAATCGCACAATCAAAAAATACAATTTGTTTGTTTTGTTTATCCTAATCGCAGTGGCGCCCACACCAAAATTGCAGGCTATTGATAATTCCCGAATTTATCTGTTAAGTATATATTCTAGAAAATCAACAGATTCGGTCTGATTTAAATTTTCATAAAATTCGGATAAAAATTGATAAAAAAAAGCTCGATAAGAATAATGTAATACAAAAATAAACCTAGAGTAGTTATTATTTCCAAACAAGAAATCAATATTAAAGATATTACAAGACACATTTACGCCTCAAACATTTCACGTGACTAAGCTTAACTCTACTTTTAAATACTGAAATACTCACGTGAAAAAAACACATCATCGGCGTAGGCAAAAAATCGAAAAAAAATTCAAAAATCTCGCGGGAGTTCCGCATGGGAACCTTGATTAGCTTCTTGTGTTACGAATGCAACCATGAACACACCTTGGTAACGTTGATTGGCCCGATAATACATAAAGATATTCAAAATTGATTGGTTGTTATTATGTCGAATAAATGACATTTTATTGTTCTATGCGTGGCGTGTAAGTTTGTTGATTTTAATCGTTTCACAATTTTGAAAGAAATAAAATCAACAATGGACCAGTTCATATAATGTCACTTATACTGTTTATTTAGTTTAATTTAATATTTGATTGTTGATTGTGAACATATTAAAATTAAATTTGTCACGTAAACATATGTTGTCTTTGTCTGATGTTCAGATCGAAAGATATTCGGAACAGAACTAGCATGAGAATTTAACCATGTATGCTAGACAAGGTTAGCTAATAACTTAAAAAAAAAAAAAAGAAGTTGATATGTAATCGAGATTAAAAAAAATAATGATATCATTCTTACATGAAGAATTGCGCCAAAGATCCATTATCTTTTGTATGTATGTATATCATACATTATTTAAGTATGTTGGTGTAAAAAAACGTTCCAATTACAATGTCTATAATCTTTTCACGTGATCTATGGCGTGCACAAACTTTTGTTTTACGTAAAGATCTTCAGGAGAATGGAAGTTGCATATATATATTCGATAATGGTCAATGTTCCTCCACACAAAAGTAGATCTTTAAAAAGCCATCACCCCTTTTTCCCCTCAACGAACGCCAGGATTACACGTTGAAATCTTTATTAATTTTAATCCTTTTATTACTTTGTGGTCCAAATATTATCGATAGGAATTGTCTATAGGAAATCTTTTTCTTTATTGACTTTTACGCGTGCATTATGAACTATCCGAAATAGAAATATGGATGCTTTCAGGAGTCATGGGTTTTCGAAAACAGGATTTTGAGATAACGTGATTAATTTTAGTCGTCATTTCTTTGTGCCTTATGACTAAAGATTTGTTTGTGTACTACTGTTGCAACTGTTGTGAAAATATTTTGTAAATAAGATGTGAAAATATTTGGTTTGTAAATATTCAATATCAATAATGAAATGATGCTTGCTTGCTTTATTATTTATTATCGGATTTATTAAATTTGATTTATTAGGTTCATTAGATTTCGTAATACTTATATATTTTCAATTTAAAATTTTATTATTCAATTTAAAATATTATTAAATTGAAATTATTCAATTTAAAATATTATTAAATTGAAATTATTCAATTTTAATATTATTATTTTCAATTTAATATTCGGTTTCGTTATAATTATCGTCGTTGAATTATATACATGATACTTTTGTTCTTTAGAATTCCCACAGGTGCAATATGACACATATATGATAATAATCACTTGGAAATTGTAAGTACTGCCGGGCCTACTTTGAATACGCGTCTTTCAATTGCTTTACGATAGGATTGCATCTCGGCAAAATTAACCATCGCTGATCTCTAGAAATAATTAAATCTTTATTTATTAATAATTCTATTTTATTATTTTATATATTTTATTCTATTCTACTTTTATTATATTCTATTCTACTTTTATTGTATTTTATTCTACTTTTTTATTCTATTTTGTTCTATTTTATTTTATTGTTATTGATTTTTTATTTATTTTTTATTTTATTTTTTTATTTCATCAATTTTAATTTAGTTTACTCTTGTTTTCTTTTTTTTTCTATTGTTTTTCTTTTTTTGCATCACAGTAAAAATGTCAACCCCATTTACTAACAATCTAAAGGTCTGAATTTTTAGGCGTTGTATCTCAGACCCTATCTTCTTAGTAAATGGATAATTTTACAAAAATATTATTCAACTTACGTGGTATTCCCAAACCGTCAATCCCAACACTTTTCCAAATTCTTTTTCAAGTGTGGTTCTTAATAATTCTTGTGAAAATGAAGGTGGTATATTGGAAATATGTGCTGCTGGTACCAATGGCCTGTAACTTTTTGTAGGGGGTGGAACTAAACAAATTAGATAATTTTTAATTTTCTAAATAGATGAATGAATTTTCTTTTTCTTTTGCTTTTCATTCGCATTTTCTTTTGTTTCATTATTTCATTATTTCGTCAGTCACACAGGTTTTACCTTGAAGTGCGTTTGATGCACCCCGCAATGGACTATCAATATCATTATTATTGCTCACAAAAATAGTGTTATCAGTTTGAGAAACGTTTTTTATAAATTCTTGGCATCTGTCTTTAGTTTCATACGCTCGAATCTTCCGAATATCTTGTTGTGTAAGCCGAATCTTTTCTTGGACTAATATATCTTCATCTTCAATATCAGCAAGCTGTTGTATTTTTTGTTGTACTAGTTTTTCATACCTTTTAAGCGTGATACTATGAATCTCACAATTATTACACCATCCAGATGGCGTCATGGACATACTGTATTGTATTTCTAGTACGGTTTAGTGTATTTCTAGTATATTTCTAATGAGATAGTAGATAGTGCGCTTATAATGTGATACTATTGACCTCTATTGACCTCTATTGAGATCTAGTGTTGTTCTAGCGTTCCAATAAAATTTTAGTTTAATTCTAATAGTTCTAATAGTTCTAGTAGTTTTGGTGTGTAATTCAAGTATCTTTTTAGTACAAATAAACTTGAAAAATGAAAGAACATAATCATTTTTCTATTTATAACTAAAACTTGCCTCTAGCATGTATCGAAACGATTACCAACAGTTTAACGTTTTACAATCTTTGTAAGACAAGTTGAATCAGGGTGTCCATTATTTATATTACATAAAAATCTAGGGGTTTTCTGTTTATTAAGCTGCACGTAAGATTTAAATAAAATGATTCACTTACGAGATTCATAAATTATATCAAAGTTACGTCACCTAATTTTGGTTAACATTTGAGTCATTTTTTATATCGATATTCTATTCTACTTTGACGATCATGTTTTTTTAATTCGTCAATTTCTGAAATTTCATGTTTTCATGTCGTTTGCATTTATCGCATAACAGATAACTATTAGCTATTGCTAATCTCTAAAATATTTTTCACTTGGTAGACTTTTAGATTGCATAGAAAATACAGTATATACAGTAAAACTAGATTTATTTGTTCTCTTCCCTGAATCATCTTCATCTTTCCATTGGTGCTTTTTGTTTTTTTTTTTACATTATGTAAATATTGCATACTTCTTTGTAAGTTTTTTTTTTTTGTTATGTTTTTATATTTTTAGATCACTGACATAGTGTTTTTCCGCACTTACGTACATATGTACAGTTAACATACGTAACATAAAATCATGCAACGTTTGCTTGAACCAATAGTCAATTATTTACCATAATTTATTCGATTTATTCTCGTCCATTTTTCAAACATTTTATGTTTCGTATTTCTATTCATCTAGTATTGAATAGATGATACCCTGATATATTTATTACATGAATAAGCTTTGCATTAATTACTAAATTATATGTTTGTTGTGTATCTTATGTTGCGTTTTTAATGACTATTTATATCTATTATATATATCATTACCTTTAAATAGAAATGAATTAAATTTATTGTACAACTGTTAGTAATAAATATATACAAGGTTTTTTTGTGTATATAATAAAACTTTATATATAACTATCGTGGCACGTGATGCCACGTGTTATGTTTTTAATTGGTCAATATTGATAGCCGAATAATAGAATTTAATATTGTTTAAAATATTAAGAAATTACAAATTGTTTATTAACATGGTAATATACTGTATAATATTTTCTTATAGTTTTACATATCTATTAAATTCATTATATATTTTGTTTGCAATATTGTAAATTCAAACACCTAAATACTAAATTCTTTACTATTTTTACAAAAACTCAAATATGGTATTTGCATATTAAAAAGAATATACTAAACTAATTTATATAATTTTTTCAATATAAATTTAATAAATTATATTGGTTTTTGTTTATAAATTTTTAAATTATTATAATTTTTAAATAATAAAATTTTAACCAATTTATTATTATTTATAATATTTAATGTAATAATAATTTTTATTTTTATTTTTATATATTATTTTTTTATATTTTGGCAGTTTTACTAATAATATATTTATTAGCTTTGATATTCTATACAAAATACTTTTAAAATACTATATTTAATATTAATATTTTGTATTTTTATAAGTACAAATAACCTTTATTAATATTAACTTATTTGAATTATATAATTTAGTTGTTATATACAGAAGTTGCTAGTAAAAAAAGTTAGAGTTACTTAAGCTTTAACTAATAAAAAAAACATAATTTAAAAACAAAAAATAAGTATATATTATTTTCTTTAATTAATAATAGTTCATTCAAACCAATATATAAAAATTTTTTTTGTTTTTTGCTAAGGTTACTATTAATGATATCTATTATCTTTATTTGTGTTTTTAATTATATATAAATAATTTGTATAAAGATAAATATAATTAGTTATTTGTGCAATTTTTAGTTGCTTATTTAAGTAGTTCATCTAAAGGTTCTATACTAGTTGCTATATTTATAATTTGCTAAAAAATAACTTTTTTAAATATTTTGGTTTTGTATTATATTAAATAAATAATATTAAAATTTCTGTATATCTAAGTGTTATCTAACTCAATATATAGTTTTTTTAAGTATATTTATCAAGCTATTACTTATCTTAAAGCATATTATCTAACTTTAAGATTCTAAATATCTTTTTATTAATTAATTTATCTATTTTACAGTTCTTATTAACAAAATTACTTTTTATAGAATTTACTCAAATCTTAATATTAACTTTACAGCATATTTCTAATATTTATAATATATTTTTACTTTGTTTTTAGACTTCTAATTTAGATAATTTAATAGAATTATAACCTGTTTTTAGTATATTAAGATCAGTTTAATATTTTTCTTCTTTAATTTAATTTTAGTAATCTGATTAATAATATGCTTATTTGAAGGTTCTTGTCTATTTAGTTTCTTCATATTGGTATTTATTTTTTAGATCTAGTTATTATAGTAGTGTTATTAAAGATTTATATTACTTTTTTATTTAGATTTTCTCAAATAGGCTTTGTTTTCTTAATTCTATAAATTTATAAAAACCTATTTTGAGTTTGCATTGTTTGATACAAATATCTTATAATTTTTCAATTATACTAATATATTTATAGTTATAGATATTTTATTATAATTAATAAACAAAAAATATATAGTTGTCATAATATAAATAATTATTTAAATTTTTACTATTAGTAGATTTTGAATTTATAATCTGCTATTTGAGAATTGATAACTTATTTACTTTACTAAGTTATTATATTTTACTAATCTGATTTTAGTTTAATATTTTAAAACTAAATTTAAGTTATATATTTAAATAATAACTATTTATAAATTATAAATCTTAGTTAAATTTTATAAATTTTAAATTTATTTTAATCTGATTTTAAACTATTAAATTTACAAATTTTTTATTTATAAAAATGCTTTATGCATTATGTTTTTATTAAAAATACATTATTTTTTATAAACAAAAAATAATTTTAATATAAAAAAATTTTATATAATATAAATAATGTCTATTTTAAATTAATTAATTATTAATATATTTTATTTAGTAATGTTATTTATACTATTCAAAATTCAAAAAGAAACAATAAAATAAAACAAAAAAACAAATATAATATTACATACTGTTTTTTCTATATTATTATTTTTATAATATATTAAAATCTAATTTATTTTAAAAAAACATGTATCTTTTTATTTTTTTATTTAAAATTCATATAATTAAATTCATTTTAACTAATTTTATAATTATAATAAGTCTTAATATTTAATAAACTTTACTAGTTTTTGTTGTTTTATATATTGTATAAGTAATTTATATTGCTTTAAGGCAATATAATATAAATATATTTTAATTATAATATTATAATAATTATTATTATTATTAAAATTAAACTAAAAAAAAATTTTAATAATAGCTATTTTATCTAATACAATATTTTTTATTTTAAGAGCATTATTAATACAATATAATTATCAGTATATTAATTAAATTGAATTTCAAAAATAAGATTTTTTTTTTAACTTTGGTGACAATGCCAGTTGATTTATTAGCTTTAATTTGATATCATACAGATTTATACAGATTTATACAGATTTATAGTTACATTTTTAGAATCAATTATTACTAATACTATATACTATCTAATTTTATACTACTGACTTTACCTAGTTACCCTTATAGCACCTAAGTGCATGTTTGCTGCATGCTTACATGCAGTTATCTTAACAACCACTTACATTCATGATATACATTAAACTACTACACAGACAAGAATACCTACCAAACTTAATGCAACATTCCAAATGCCAGGGGTACTGTCTTCTGTAAATTATACCTATATGTTTTACTCACATGTTTTATCTGGTCTTGTTTCTTCTGTCTTCTAATCTAACTATATCTAATATTACCTTGTTCTTCACATTTTTCATCTTTTTGTTACTATACTACTCTCAAATTGGTCTTACTCAGGTATGTTTGATCCTTATGATCTTCTCATTTTTAATATACCTGTTATTATTTTTTCTAAGGTGTTCTGATAATGGTTCAGAATCGTATCTCAAGTCAGATCTGCTACTGCCATTAGTCTTTTGATCAATCTGTATCTCAAGCCAAATCTGCTGTCATCATTTTTACAGATACCTCAGATCTTAGCATTATACAGTAACTTGATGCTGTATTTAACCTTCAACATGGTGTTTTCTTTTATAGTAGAGATTAAAACTTGTTGCATTTACAAACAAAACAATTTTGGTTATACCTAGAGAGTTCTTTTAACCCTAGTAATACCATACTATCATATATTGCAAGCTCACAACTTATTTAATAATATCTGCAGAACAATTTTGGTTATGTCCAGGAAGTTACATCAACCTTAATAATACCATACTATCTTGCAGATCTTATCTCATATTGATTAGTTGATCCCTAGTCTCATTCATCATAGACTTTCATATAGGTATGACCAAAATCTGATTTGGTACTTTTACATTATAAAGAAAGTTATATGCCTACCTCTAAGATCTTTTTTTCTATAATTAGATTATTTGGCTGTGCCAGAGGTGCTTCCAATTTTTGGTTAGACCAATTCTTTATTACAGTTCATTCTTATGTTTACTGCTTCTCTTACTATTTCAGTTTTGATTATTTTCAGACTACTCTCTTAATCAAATCCTCTTCTTGGATCTCAATTAAGACTTATTTGCACAATTTGTTGATTATCCTTCTAAGCAAATATCTTACAAGTTGAGTGCAGAGATGTTGGTACTGCCTATATTAGGAGATATAAGAATTTTGGTACTGTCCTAGTCTAAAGAACTTATATATGCAATCCTTTTAT